ACTCCCGTAATCTTCAGCTTCCTTTGCCAGTATGCAATGACTATCCTGTATTTCTCTTTTTTGTTTAGGGTCCTCCAAGGTGTTCCTCCCTTCAGGCCCCAATCATGCTTCTCTCGGGACATGAAGGGGAAGTGTACTGCTGCAAGTTTCACCCCAATGGATCCACCTTAGCATCTGCAGGATTCGACCGATTGATATGTAAGGCATAGTGTTCATAGTGTTTGAATCCGGAATAATCGCTATCTGCCAAATAGTGATTATTTTTTTAAAACCTTTGGTGCCACAGAAGGCATCAGTCTGATTTGGTCACATAACAAACTACATGGTCGTCAAAATGCTGAATGATCTTGATTGGAGAACTCAGTCCATGTCGTAAATACGAAAGGAATTATGTTACTGGTTGGAAAGTGAGTTGCTCTAGTTTGAGAATATCTTCCTCATGGAGGTGAATCTTGAGCTGATTTGGCAAGATAAGAATTCTAGGCTTAAAGATTAATGGGCGTAATAAAGAAAAAGAGACCATTTCTTTTCTCCAAAGGCAAGAGGCCCTCTTCTTGGTTCACTCTCAGAATCTTAGCATTTGGGGAGGAAGGGGGACTCTTAAAGTGGCAGCTCACGTGGATAATCTATCTATACGTTAGGATCTGCTACCGGATTCTCAACTCCTAGTCAGGAAAACCCATTTTTTGAGAAATAGGTAGAGGAAATCACTTTGGGGAAGTCATGAGAAAAAGTGAAAAAGAAGGTAACAGAAGCCTCTGACTTTATTTCTTCTGCCATCATTTGCTGCATTATGAGATGAAATTAACTCTTCGCTTATAACTCTGTACCTCAGGGTGGATGATAATTGTCTGTTTTGATTTAGGTGTTCTAGTTCTATGATCCTTAAACTTTCCGGTGGCCAAGCACCTGGAAGGCTTAGGCATCTTTGTAGAACATCCATAACTACCTATATGTATCTTATGCATAGAGGTGTTCCTTACTAATTCTCATTAATTTTACTTCTCGCTAGAACAAGCTCACTGTGGATAGCAACTGTGTCTATTCATTTACCTCGTTTTATCCCAGTACCTGGCATGTTATAGGTACTTACTACATGTGGATTAAGTAAATGTCGGATAAAATCATTGCCATGTGACCTTCAAGGCATTTGCAGCTTCCTCGGTTTTCCATAAGTGCTGCCATTTTGCAGTCTATATTCATAGGAGATGAGCAATAGTGAATGTCAGCTTTTTTAATATAGGAAATTACGGCTTAAAAATTGTATCCATTAACTTTTTTACCTTATAAAATGTGAAAATATTGCATTATTTTTGTTACAGTGTCAGGAAAATTGGCACAGCTGGTAGAACCAATAGTGTTCTAAGCACTATTGTTCTGGTAAATTCATAGGTACCCTTTCCGTGCCCACTAATAAATTTCCTTTTGCCTAGCAGTGCTCATAGAATTCCTGTCTTCCTAACAGTGTTGTGGAATGTCTATGGTGACTGTGATAACTATGCAACATTGAAGGGGCACAGTGGAGCAGTGATGGAACTGCATTATAACACAGATGGCAGGTGAGTATTCTGCATAGTAGAATGACGGCTGCTACTTACACTAATTCTCCTTGGCATCCTTTCACATTTTATCCTTGAGTTTTCTCTCTCAGGAGACCATGCTATCAAAAACTGCTGCATTTGGGCAATTGCTTTATTCTATCACTGTCACGCCAAGTAAGGAGTTTATTGCTCCTTGTAGGCATTTAAAAATACATCATCTCTGTCATCTAATATGTCAACATCTCAGACAAATTTATTCTTTCTTAAGACATAAAACAAAGTAATTTTTATATGTATAAATTAGCTATTTTTATTATGAAAGTAATAAAATATTATTTTGAGAAACTAAGACAAAAAAACAGAACAAGGAAAAAATAGCCCATATTCCTGCCAGTCCAAAGAGAATAACTTAATGTTATGATACATTTTTCTCAAGCCTTTTTTCCTACTCTAAACTGTTTGGTTTTTACTTAATATGTTAGAGCTACGTTTACGACCTTGTCTGCTGCTTTTTTCCCTTAACATTATTCACCTAACATGCTATTTATCATAAGCATTTTAATGATTGCATAATTTTAGAATAATTACAAATAATATAGAAATGTGGTTTTTTTGGGTTTTTTTTTTAAATATATTTTATTGATTTTTTACAGAGAGGAAGGGAGAGAGATAGAGAGTCAGAAACATCAATGAGAGAGAAACATCGATCAGCCACCTCCTGCACATCCCCAACTGGGGATGTGCCTGCAACCCAGGTACATGCCCTCGACCGGAATCGAACCTGGGACCCTTCAGTCCGCAGGCCGATGCTCTATCCACTGAGCCAAACCGGTTAGGGCTAGAAATGTGTTTATAAAAGGCATTAATCCCATTGGGTATTTCAGTAAATAGTCATTGTTTTAAACCTCTGATCTGTAAAACCTAGGGTTCCCTGAATCGACTGGTACATAGCCTTGTATACATTTTCTTATTAATATTTAAGTAAAGAATGCCTTATAATAATTATAACTTATGAATTGTCCTCAGAGACAAAATAAAAATTTTGATTTTTAGGGAAAAGGTTGGAGTTGCTGAGCCATTGGGTTAAGAATTGCTAATTTCTCTTACTTCTGCAGCAAGGAGTGATTTAATATTTCCAAGTGGGAGGATGTCTTATGTATAAAGTCTTATCTATCACAAAGAAGGAAAAGATTAAGAAAACTGCTGTATTAAGTGTTCACTCTATCATGGGGACTGATAGAAGGAAATCCTTTTTACAAGGGTAGACCTCATAACGGATCTAGAGCACCAATAGGATTTTGGTAGATAGGGCGAGGCAGGCATTCCAGCATCATGTGCCAGACTGTCAGAGGACATGTCAATGATCTTAAAGGGTTGGGCACATTTTGGTAAGTGGGGAAGATAGATTGCTGGGGTTCGTATTCACTTCTTTTTTGTTCTTCCTCTTACCTTCTAGTATGCTCTTCTCAGCATCCACAGATAAAACTGTGGCAGTGTGGGATAGTGAAACAGGTGAAAGGGTTAAAAGGCTGAAAGGACATACTTCCTTTGTGAATTCCTGTTATCCGGCCAGGAGGGGCCCCCAGCTTGTCTGCACTGGAAGTGATGATGGTACAGTTAAGGTAGGTGATGTTGTCTCTCTGAGTGTTGCAATTTCTGAGGTGACATAATGTGAACTTTATCTTGCCTTACCCTCTGTGTTGTACCCTCCTCACCACAACTTTGTTTTAGCAGTCATTTCCCAAAACAGATGCTTTAAGTATCTAACAGAATAATATTAGAACCAAATCAAATCATTGTGACTTGGATTAAAATGGATCACCTGAATTGGATTCTTGGCTCAGCTGTTTACTTAGTTGTGTGGTCTTAGGCAGTTTTTCTTATCCTCAGTTTCTCAATCTTTACGGTGGTGATAGTAGTATCATGTCTTACAAGGCTCTTGTGAAATTGGTGAGTATATAGAAATGTCAGTACATGGTTTAGTAACACAGGATGGAATCTTAAAGGTCATTTGGTCCAATGATTTCCAACCTGTGTGCATATCAGAATCACTCAAAGAATCTGTTAAAAAAAAAAAAAAAACAACCAGATTCTGATTCAGTAGGTCTGAAGTGAGATTTCTTTTTTTTTTTAATTAAGACTATTTTTAAAGCAGTTGTAGGTTCACAGCAAAATCGAGGGAAAGATTATAGAGATTTCCCATGTATCCACTGTCCCACATATGCACAGCCTCCCCCAGAGTGGCACATTTGTTACGATTGATGAACCTACATTGATACATCATAACTACCCAAAGTCCATAGTTTACATTAGGGTTCACTTTTAGTGTTGTACATTCAGTGGGTTTGGACAAATGTATACTGACATGTATTCATCACTATGGTATTATACAGAGTATTTTCACTACCCTAAAAATCCTCTTTGCTCTGCCTATTCATCCCTTCCAAGCCCTGGCAACCATTGATCATTTTATTATTTCCATAATTTTGCCTTTCCCAGAATGTCATATAGTTAGAATTATACAATATATAGCTTTTTCAGATTAGCTTCTTTCTCTTAGTAATATGCATTTAAGATTCCTCTATGTCTTTTCATGGCTTCATAGCTCATTTCTTTTTAGTGCTGAATAATATTCCATTATTTATGTATTTACCTACTGAAGGACATCTTGGTTGCTTCCCAGAGTTGGCAAGTGGGAGGCATCCGATCAATGTTCTCTCATATTGATGTCTCTCTCCCTTCCTCTCTCTCTAAAATCAATCAAAGTGTATCCTCGGGTGAGGGCTTAAAAAAAAAGTATGTTTTAGTGGGCCAGAGTAGCATGTCAGAGCCCAAGTGAGGTGAGGAGGGCATCCACACAGGACAGGGTAGGCAGCCTGGGGAATTGGAGGATGAGGAAGGAGGCGCTGCCCAGAATGGAGAGTCAGTGCCCTAATGGGGTAAAAGGATCATCTACACGTTGGTGAAGGAGATAATATAGTGTCAGAACCTGAGCTGAGGGTGCTCAAACGGGGCAGGTGTCTGAGGCTGATCAGGATGAAGATGGCATCCCTAGGGAAGGGCAGCCTAGAGGCGGGTATTAAAGCCCAAGCAGAGTGAAGAGGGTGTTGGTTCACCCAGGGATGACCCAAATGGGATGAGAAAGGGGTGCACATAGAGTTAGCTGAGAATGGGAATCACGGTTCAGGAAAAAGGGTATCTATTCAGGGGAAGGGTGGAAGAGGATATGGGAGGTTGGTTATACAGGAAGTTTGATCACATAAGTATAATGGAAGACAGACTACTCAACCATCAGAGAGAGGAGTTACCAATACTGAAGTAGAGAAAACTAAAATGCATCGTGTGTTGTTGGTATCAAATTGGAATTATCAGTGTGAATTTAAGACATTCAATATACAAACAAACAGATATAGAAAAAAAATGAATGTAGATGTGTGTGTATACCTATGTATACATATATTTTCTAACTGACCACTGAGAGGGTTTAGGAATAATAACACCCCAACAGCAATGAGCACATCTACTGCTCAGGTCGTGGCCTTTAAAGTACCATTTTCCACTAAAAGGAACCAGGGCTCCTTTTAGGACTGGGCAGGGAAAGTACTAGATGAGCCTTGAACATCTTATGCAAGAAAGCTTGTCAAAGAACATCTTAATCAAATTATCAAATTGGACTTTATTAGTAACTAGAGGCCAGTGCACGAAATTATCCATCTTTTTTAAAAAAATTTATGGTTAATGCTGCTATAAACATTCATGGTCAAGTGTTTGAACACCTATTTTCATTTCCCTTGGCCGTATATCTAGGAGTCTGGTTGCTGGGACATGGTAATTCTATGTTTAACTTTTTGAGGGACATCCAGAGTTTTCTGTAGCAGCCTCATCATTTTACATTCTCATCAGCAATGTATGAGACTTTTTCAACGTAAGAATCCCCAATTTTTTTACATCCTCGCCAACACTTGTTATTTTCTGTGTGGGTTTGTTACTGTTACTGATATTGTTACATCTTAATGAGTGTGAACTGGTACCCAATTATTGTTTTGATTTTTATTTATGATGTTGAGATCTTTTCATGTGCTTATTGGCCCTTGTTATATTTTCTGAAGAGAAAATTTTTTTAATGTTTTTATATATTTTAGGGAGGAAGGTAGAGGGAGAGTTAGGCACATCACTGATAAGAGAATCATTGATTGGCTGCCTTCTGCTCTCCCTCTGAGGATCAAGCCCACAATCCGGGCATGTGCCCTGACTGGGAGTTGAATTGTGACCTCCTGGTTCATAGGTTGACGTTCAGCCACTGAGCCACACCAGCTGGACCTGAAGAGAAATAGTTATTCAAGTCCTTGCCCATTTATTAATTAGGCTTGTTGTATTTTTGTCATTGAGGTATAATAGTTCTTTGGCTGGATACTAGACCTTTCTGAGATATGTGATTTGCAAATATTTTCTCCCATTGGCAGTTATTTCATTTTCATGATACTATCCTTTGATGTACAACAGCTTTCTGTTTTTATTAAGTCTAATTTATCTATTTCTTCTGTCACTTGTACTTTTATTGTCATATCTAATAATTCATTGCCATATTCATGGTCATGAAGATTTCCCCTTTTGTTCTCTTCTAAGAATTTTATAGTTTTAGCTTCTTTTTTTAAATATATATTTCTTTATTGATTTCAGAGAGGAAGGGAGAAGGGGAGAGAGAGATAGAAACATCAATGATGAGAGAGAATCATTGATCGGCTGTCTCCTGCACACCCCCTAGTGGGGATCAAGCCCGCAACCCAGGCATGTGCCCTTGGCCGGAATCGAACCTGGGACCCTTCAGTCCTCAGGCTGACGGTTTATCCACTGAGCCAAGCTGGCTAGGGCTATAGTTTTAGCTTTTACATTTAAGTCTTTGATTCATGTCAAGTTAATATTGACACGTGTGAGGTAAGGGTCTAGCTTCAACTGATTATCCAGTTGTCCCAGGGCCACTTGTGAAAAAACTATTAATTTCTTTCATCTGTATGGGCTACACATTTTGCTGCTTCTTTGCCTCATAATTTTTTTGTTGAAAACTAGACATTTGAATATAATAATACTAGAGGCCCACCGCGCGAAATCACACGGGACCCAGTGTCAAGTCCCCACCCACCCGCGCATGCAGCCCCGTCCACCTTGAAGACAGTTGTGGACGGAGATAAGAATAGTTTCCTGCCCTAACCTTTCCTTCTCAGGAGAACTTAAACTGACCTTCGTTGGAAGATAAGAATTGAACAGAGCAACACTTACTTGTTCCCATGAAGAAATCATGTGACATTCAGCAGTTGCCTTTTGGTGTTTGGTTGTGATGGCTGATGGCGTCACGACCATGGGGTTTTTATAATAGAAACTAGAGGCCCGGCGCACAAAAATTTGTGCACTGGGGGGATGGGGGAGTGTCCCTCAGCCCCACTTGTGCCCTCTCACAGTCTGGGACCCATCGGGAGATAACCACCTGCTGCTGGCTTAGGCCCACTCCCCGGGTGGCAGATGGCAGGCTGGATCCCTCGGTGCCTGTCCTGCCTCCCCAGGTCGCGCACACAGCAGGGCCCATCCGGGGGTTGGGGCACCGCCCCGGGTCGGGTCGCACACAGAATTCCCTGATGGAGGCCGGGTGGGCTGGCCGATCACTGCTGCACCACCCAGCCACCCTGGGTCAGGTCGCACATGGACGCCCGCTACCCCGGGTCGCAGATAGCAGGCCCGGATGGTGGCAGGGCAGGGGGAATAGCCAGGGCAGGCAGGATGGCGCTGTCCTGCCCTGCCTGCGGTATGCAATTGGCCGCCATCTTTGTTGGCAGTTAATTTGCATATCATGCTGATTAGCCAGTGGGAGGCGTAGCGAAGGTATGGTCAATTACCATGTTTGTCTATTAGATAGGATGGCAGTTCGGGAAATTAGATTCTCGTCAGGGTTTGTTGTTGCTGCTTGTTGTAGCTATTATTTATTTAGTGAATTTTCTGGTGTAATTTTTAAAATTTGCTTGTAGCCACTGAAGTCTCTTATTTCATTAGCTTAGTGGTTTGCCAATGGTTGGGCAAAGATTTCCTTAATGGCGGGGGGGGGGGGGGGGCGGGGGGCGGAGAAAGGCGGAGAGGGGAGACTCTCCTAGTCTTTGCAGAGTGGCTGTGTGTATGTGAAGGGGCCTGCCTTCACCTCTCAGCCAGGCAGTTCCAACTCTGCATTAGCCTTCATTTCCTGCTTGTACAGAGCCTACAGGTGAGCGTGTGGGGCCTTCTCAGTTATTTTCTGAGCATGCTCACAGCCATGGGCATGCACATGACCTATAGAGTCCCAGGAATGTGTTATAGCTTTTTTTTTTAAATATATTTTGTTGTTTTTTTACAGAGAGAAAGGGAGAGGGATAGAGAGCTAGAAACATCTATGAGAGAGAAACATCGATCAGCTGCCTCCTGCATGCCCCCTACTGGGGATGTGCCCGCAGCCAAGGTACATGCCCTTGACGGGAATCAAACCCGGGACCCTTCAGTCCACAGGCCGACGCTCTATCTACTGAGCCAAACCAGTCAGGGCTGTGTTACAGCTTTTCAAAGCCTCTCCTGTGTTCCAAGTTGTCTCATTCTCCCACTTTCAGTCTCCAGCTGTTTGGCTGTCTTTTATTTGCCCAAACTGTTAGTTCTTGCTTCAGCAAGCAGAGGCTAGTGTATTATTTGCCTCTAAATGTTTTTGGAAAATAACCTCTGCCTTGGGAGAGTTCCAGGTTAGGCAAAATAAAGGAAAAGCCTTTGAGCTCATCCTTCAGGGTGCCACCAGACAGGTAAAAACAACCACGTTCTTTAAGAATAAGGAATGTGGTCCATTTTGTTCCTTTCTATCCTGGGAACCTATACTGGGAATATGGGCTCTTGTCTTCAGAGGTATTGTTGAGTTAGGGGATGGAACCAGGGTAAGTTAAAACACTACAAAACTCTTCCTAAGACCCAGGGTTTGTTTTTCCTTCATTAAGTGTTTGCCTGGTTGCTATAAATTTTTGATTAGTTTCTAGAATTCTGATAAAGTTGATTCTGCTAATTTTTTGCTAGGTAATTCTCTGCTTTTGTGGAGGGACAGTCTTGTAGAATTCCCTACTCTGCAGTTTTTGCTGATGTAACTTCCTCTGTCTATGTACATATTTTTTTTTATTTTTATATATTTATTTCTTTTTTTTTTAATATGTTGAAATTTAATCTTTTTTTTTTAATTTAAATCTTTATTGTTATTAGTTTCTAATTCTGATAAAGTTGATTCTGCTAATTTTTTGCTAGGTAATTCTCTGCTTTTGTGGAGGGACAGTCTTGTAGAATTCCCTACTCTGCAGTTTTTGCTGATGTAACTTCCTCTGTCTATGTACATATTTTTTTTTT